GGATAACCAGTGTTGGGTTTGAAAAAAATGACATATTTTACTCATTTTAAAGGCTTCCTATATTCTGTTGTTAAGTGGTAACGCGATTATCATTATCGTGCACGTTGTACAACAATATATGTTATTTCTGCTCCCTTGTTTCACAGCTTCTTCATTCCTCTGATGCTGTAAATGCTGCAAAAAGTCAGATTGCATGGTGAAAAAAACCCGTATGCCGTCTTAAAGGTGAGATCTGTCGGCTGCAGAACAGGCCAAAATAAGATGGGAACGCGGTAATCTTGAGACAGATGGATGACGTGTTTCACCTCTAGTCAGTCACCCTGCCAGCGTGAGGCAGCTACACGGCCATATATAGGAACGTAACAAGCAAGGTGGTATCCTGCAAATGTGTGCTTGCTGCCCTGCTTATTGTCACATTCGCCGATTTATATATCTGCACACATTTTTGAACCATGCTGTCGCTCGACTCAGTCTCGTGTATTTTCTTATTACGATTGTGTAACTAAAATCAGGTGGAAAGCTAAGTGTCAATTGCCGCTGTTTATTACAAGTAGAGCAAAATTAGCAGCTCACAGAGCGAATGGCAATATCCAGATGAACCAGCAGTTCCAACGATTGGACGCAGCTTTTGTCTTTAAAGACATGAAATATTCAAAAATAAAAACAAATTAAAAAGTAAAATTGTAAATAATTTCTTTGATTTCATTTATTTTTCATTTCTGTTTCAATTTTTCCCCAAGTTTTTTCTTAAGTTATGATAAACCATACACAAATTAATTATTAATTATCTATTGCTTAGACGCCTACTGATCTTATACATAGAATAAATAATATATAACATCTTGATGATGGGAGGCATGACTGTCATAAACATTATTGATGGAAAATTATCCAGGTTTACTATGAAATCTCCTTCCTACTGAATATGGGAACCCAATATTCAAAGGAAGACAAAATTTCACAGCGCAGTCAGGTTGTCGAACCATAGCAAGGGCATCAAAGAGAATAGGCCCCCTCATTTGTTAAGTTTCTTGCCATTTTCCTTTTATCATTTCAAAGGTATGGGTAAACGTGATCCATGTGGAAGTTTCTCAAAAGCTTTATAAGAACATTCAAAAATAATAGACTGTGTGGTAAATTTCCAATTTAACAAACAGAAACAAGCAGTTCCCCTCAATTTTTGTTTATATAACATCATCATTGTTCTATCCTCTGTATCCATTAACATTAATACAAAATAAATAAATGGTTCTTGATCATAATGCTTTACAGATGTTCCACAAAACAGCCAGCTAAAATTACTTCTTTTCTTTTATGGGGCTTGTTCCAGGAATCAATTACAGGAGATGAATCATCTTATCTTAGATTCATGTAAACGTGTGGTCAAACTTTATAGATTTTGACTTTGGCTTCTAATTTTATTGGTGCAGAATGTTTCTTGAAGGACAAATTTTGCTTCCAACCAAAAACTTTTTCATTTTTATTTGCTATATTTGGAACTGTTTCATGGCATCAATTATAAGCGGAGAATAACTTTGGCTTAAATGCATGCAAACGTGTGTTTAAACTTTACAGATTTGGACTTTGGCTTCTAATTTTATTGGTACAGAATGTTTCTTGAAGGAAAGATTTCATTTCCAACCAAAGTGTCTTTGATATTTCTGTGCTTGTCGGAAAATAAGCCAAATGTGATCTCAGATGTTTCTGCATAAGCAGCTGCACCTTCAGTATCTTAACACAAAGCGTGTGAATTTAATGAACACTTTAGGGTCAGACTCGCACACCCTAACCCTACTCTGTACTCCCTACTCCCGGCACGCCTTCTTCATTTCTTCTGCTCATTTGATTTCTTTAGAAATCAAAACCTTAGTCGCACCCTGACATAGACAATAGCTACAAACGTCCTCATCAGCTCGTTTAATGATTAAACCTTAACCCCTACCCAGACCTAACCATAACCATAAGTAACCAAACAAAATACAACAATTTTTGCATTTTTAGTTTTTTCATTGCAGTCACAGATTTTTTATAAAATAGAGTTTTCCCATATGGTTTCTCATTCCTTTTGAAGGTCACTTGATGTCATCCTTCGATTCATGAGCAACTGTCGGATAAGTTAATGGTCAATTCAGGCATTAGAAAGTCTCTTCCGCCCTTTACCTGGCTGGTTTCTGGTCGTTCCCAGTGTCTCCTGCTTAGCAACCTGCTGCTCAGCGTTGCCTTCTGGCAGCAGAACCAGGATTAACCCAGGATTTAAAATGCAGATTGCTTTAAAAATATAGAGTGGTCTCTTAACTTTTTCCATAGCTGTATACACACAAACACACACCAGGAAACCGGTCCCCATAAGGGAAAAAAAACAGATATTTATCACGTTATGGGGACATTATGTCCCCATAAGGATAGGTAAACCCGCTCGCACACACACACACACACACACAGTTTTGGAATTTTTAGTTTTTTGATTGCATTCACAGATCTTTATGGAGACCTGAGAAATTGCTCCCACTATGTCAAAATAACAGGTTTTTATTACCTTGTTGGGGACATTTGGTCCCGTCAATGTATTATAAACCTAATCCACACAGACATGCGTACACACACACACACACACACACATATATCTTGAACTTTCCAAAGGTTGCCAGATCTCGGGAGTAAGCTGTGAGACTCACTCCCAGTACAATACCTCTTTATTACCATGAGCACTATCCACCACAGGATGAGCATCATTATTAATGTTCTGCTCCGCCATGTTTGGCCCTCTTTACTGCGTTAATTTATTCATGCATTTCATCAGAGATATAACTGTTGAGAATCTTCCACCAGGAATATTATGTCTGACCTTTCAAACTGTCAGGTTAGTAGTGTTAGTATCAGTTCAGAGCTCTATGCTGCATAGACTTTTAATTACAGGATGCATTGTCACTCTGTCCATATTCCAATAAACAACGTCAGTAAACAACACTGTGTATGAGTGATTGTAGGGAAAATATACTATTCCAACCCCAGTTCATTTTTGGAAAATATTTTAAAGTCGTGACTACAGGTGAGCTGCCATCTTTCCAGAAAGTCAGACACTGCAAAGTGTACTTGCAGTGAACCAAAAAGAAAAAAAGCAAAGAAAAGGAAAATAGTGTACCACAAGAAATTGGAACAGACCATTTTAAAAACGCAAACGTGCAAAGAGTGATTACTGTGAGCAGATAACAGAGAATCATGTATGGTGTAATTGGGTGGGAGAGAATGGTGTGCTTTTAGGGTAAGGAGGTGTGTAACCACCGCGCTCTTATGGTGAGGTGTGTAACCACCGCGCTCTTAT